CGGCTGGAAGGTGTTAGGTAGGCCAGCATAGGACTGGGGGATGTCCATTAACGCGTGCCCAGAGGGTCAAGCTAGGGAAACAAAGGAGTGGCACACTGCACATGTTCAGGGTTCCCACCGGTAAGCAGGGGTGGGCATGAACTTGAATTGGATCACCTAGCCAAGTAAATTCAATTCAGCCAATGGGGTCGATCAGGGGTCTTCCACCACGCCTCCCTGTGGAATCCTTGAAAAGGCAGAAGCCCGGAGCAGGAAGAGAGAACTTAGACAGGAGGAGAGAGAACTGAGGCGCAGAGAGCTTTGGCATGCTTTGCGGGACGCAGAGCCGCTTCCAGCTAGGCCGCATGTCTGGGAGGAGCCCCTTGGGTGCCGTGTAAACCTGAAACTTCTTCTAACTTTCATAAAACTCACTTCGACCACGAACCAGGCTTCAGCGTGAATTCTTTCTCGCGTGGAGCCAAGGACCGAGGTATAAATCTAGCTCCAGAGAGATCTAACAAAGGCTCCTTAGAGGCAAGGATGGAGAGACTTCACCTTACCTACTTGGCATGTTGTCAGGAGGGACCAGGTCCTGGAGAAGGTCATCGTACTTGGTAGAGTGGAGGGGCAGCAACCATGAAGATGGTCCTCACAAGATAACTGACGCAGCGGCAGCAGCAATGGGCTCAAGCACAGGAGCCACGATGAGGGGGGCGCAGGGCCATTACTGGCCAGGGTAGCACGATAACCTTTAACTATCTCAACCACTCACCTCATCTCGATTTGCCTTTTCGGTCTGGGTGAAAACTACCGCGTTTCCAAAGTTCACCCGTAAGCGAACACCTACCAGTGCTCTCAGTCACCGAGAACCCCCGCGATAGAACGAAAGCCACGTTTGACGTGGGTTTTGCTGCTCTGAAAATCTGTACAAGTTCTTGTTTTCATCCAATTCTTTCCAATATCTTCCTGAACTAAATGCGCATTCTGTTTCAAATTGAAATGTAATCATTTTTGCATTTTTATTTTATTATGTTTATAGTTTAGTTTTACATGGAGCTGTGCAAAACAGCCTGTGGGAATAATTAGCCCGTGGCCATCAAGCCACGCAATTTGCTAAGATGCCAAAGAGGCAAAATCTTTTGGCCTC